AGCACCATATGAACTGTGTGCTTAGCAGCAAACCTCCCTTTGTCCATGTTCTGTCTGTGCTCAGCACAGTCACCATGACTTTAGTGGGAAAAAGCATCTGGACTCACACTGGTTTGCTAAACAATGCCAGGCTTGCAGTAAGTCAGAGGTTCCTTGTGTAATATTGCAACATCAATCCTGGGCTTTCAAGATACTAGGGAAATTAGAACCTTAGAAAATGTTCTGTGGACACTTTTTATGATACTTTACTAGCTCTTCACAAACAGAAAGTACAGCAAGGCCAAATTTAAGGACAGGATGTCCTTTGTAATGCTTCCAGCTGAGTGACCTGTGCCTGTCTGGGATTGCTTACCTGGGAGTTCTTGAACTCTGAGTAGAGTGAGAAAAGGACGTGCAGAGGCTGGATCCAACTCTTGTACACAGGGATGTCCAGAATGGCTACAAAAAAAAAAAAACCAAAACAAAACAGAAGTGTACAGGACTACTCTGCTCTGCATGGAGTGTTGTAGGTCAGCCCTGAACTTCTCACTGCCTCCAATTACTTGGCCCTTTGCTCATCTATGACTGCATGCGTCTTTGCCACAAGAGTCCACTTCCTACTGAAAACAACAGAAAATGGTCTTGATTACTTAGGCCTGAATCTGCATCTGAACGTCTCCTTTTTTAATAACAGTGACAGGCCAGCAGTACACTTGTGTCTTCAGTAGTGGATAGTATGCAAGACTAGAGCTGGACTTTCCTGAATATCCAAGCGTATTGGACCAAGAGTACCTACAAGGACTGAGTTTTGTTTTTTCTTACCTAAGCTCTTAAAAGAATTGACTGCTCACTATCATCAGCCTGCTGAGCAGAGCAGACAGAACCCAAATCCATGAAGATGAATAGCAACAAGCTAACAGTTAGTCAAAACACTCTCTTTGGATCAGCCTGAGAAACCTCAGTTGAGTTTGAGCGTTTCTCAAAGCTGAACATTTCCTTTCGTTGTCGGTTTCTGCACTAGGGACAATCAGATAATCTTTAACTGAGGGAAAGAAAGGGATCTTCCTTGCTTACCACATATCATGTCGACGTATTCAGCCAGGTCACAATTCATTTCTGCAGTTGGGAGGCCCACCTGGAAAAGAAGAAGTTGTCGGTTTTGCTCTTGTATAGCAGAGGCCTGAGAGCATGCACTAATCTTGAGCTGAGAACAGAGGCTACCTGGGCAGCAGCCAGGCATTCAGATTTTAGGCTGCTCCCATTGTCTGGTCAGAAGGAAATGATAAATGAAGAACAAATCTCAACTGAGCAGGGTGCAAGCAAACTGGTCAAAGAGGAAGAGAAATCCAGATTTCAAGTGGGATCATTTTTAATGCTGTGCCCTGAACTAACTGCCTGATGCTTGGATGCCATACCTTTCCCAAGAGCTCCTCAAATTCTGGTGACCACTCCTGCATGAGGGTTTCTATGTCAGGCATGGGCCTGTAAAGGAAGAAAGAAAAAGAGAAACCTTAGGATTGTGGCAAGAAGCTGAAATGGCTTCCTACTGCAACTGCTATGAATGAGACAGACCATTTTAACCCATTGAGAGAGATCTGTATGTCTGCAAAGTATCATTTTATTCATTAAAACAGGACTAAGTTTTAAATTTGTGCTTAGCACTATGACTAAAGAAACGTGCTAGAACCATCACTTCCTTTGGAGTGAGGCTGAGCTGCTGTGAATTGGAAGTCAGGGCAGAAGGGTGTGCCACAACTGCTGAGACTCAATCCAGGACGTGGTAAAGAATAAGTATTGACTCCTGACTTGTCCAGATTTTCTTTTTACAGAGTATTGATTGCAAGAAATTGACGTTGCATATGCAAACTGTTAGAACTGTTTTGAGGCATAAAGGGAAAGAGAAGTGCAAAGAGGGAAACAGCATCCCGCACACATACACGGTACAACTACCCTGAAACTCAGCACGTCTTCTCCCTCTCAGAGACATTTTGATCATTCTGCTCAGTGCTCCTGGACTTTGCTACCTGCTGACCTGATGTTCTGCTGACATAATGGCTCACCTGGTGTAGTGGACAGTGGCAGGAGGTTTGCAGCGGTGTAGTTCACTGATACTTTCAATCCAGTTGTCAATGGCTTTGGGGTTCTTCTCTGCATTCTCCACGCTTTTCACTTTTATCTGCTGCTAGAAACAAAAACATAAACCTGGAAGCACTTTGTGGTGGTTTGTTTGTTTTTTTTTTTTAATACCCTGTGTTCACTCCTGATGAACCATGTGGTTTCTCTTTTGTAGTTATATTTATTTCAAGAGATTTCTTCAGACAAAACAGCAAGTGAGAAGCAAAACCAGATAGGGAAAATAAACAAAAGAACAAAAAAAAAAACCCAAAAAACCAAAAAACCTTAACCTAAAGGAAATCAAAAGATCTTAAGTCTGTTCTGAAACTTGCCTGAGGCAGAGCTTGAATACATTTCAGTTTAAAGCTATAGGTCAAAAAGGGTTATTTTTCTGCTTTTAAAGCCAAGTTATCAGTTGTGTTGTGTTGCTATAGTCCCACAAAGAGTAAAGTGCAATGTCTTCATTCTAGCCAGAGTACAGTAAATGCCTTCTCTCTCTCCATGACTCACTGTAATGTTGTGCTGTTTGGAATTCTCCGTTAGCCAAAGGGAGAGTACTGTGGGATCTGACTGCTTCGTTGATGGCTCATCTAAGACCAGCAGACCGAGGTTATCAGGCTTGCCATCTGGGCGTGGGACCTGCAGGTAAAACACAGAAGGAATCATCTATGGGAGTAGCAGGGGATGCTGGAACTATTCTGTACAGTGCCTCCCTGTTAGAAATTCAGACTCAGTTAAGAAGGAATTTGTAAAGCATGCTGCTTTGAAAGAGCAGAAAATATGAGTTGTTAGCACAGTGGTACCTGAAACGCATAAGGTGTTGGGCAAAGAAACAGGCAACCCTTGCACCAAATTATGTATGGACTATGTGGGATGTCACCTAAGTGACCAGCCAGGTCACAGTGCTGCTACGTGTGATCTCCTAGGAGTCTACAACAGGACCTTCTACAGCAAAGGGCAAGGGCACCTCACTGCCACCAGGACATTGTGTCTGAAGTCTTGGCTGTACAGCCTGCCTGCCAGGCTCATACCAAAGCCACCTGCTGTTTCAGCCTGTGTGGTGTAGGTATGGGGATATCTGAAAATATTGTACCTTTAGGAAGGCATCAATGTCTCCAACAGCAGGAATGAAGTCTGGAATAAAAGGCTGCAGTTTGTGCTCAATGTCTATTGTTTTCGGAGTGTACCTGGAGAGAGAAAAACATTATTACACAGTGGGTGATTGATATTTCCTGCCAGACTTACCCTTGAGACAAAGGAGAACCTAAGGCAGGCAAAAACACCTTCAACTCACCTCCTTATGTATTCAAACAGTTCTTTAATTTCAGCAGATACTGGCAGGTAGTCATAATCTGCTAGGTTGTAGTCACTGAAGAGAGGAAGAGAAATTCATGTAGACATTGTATAGCTTAAAGCTGTGCCAGGGGAGATTTAGGCTGGTCATTAGGAAATACTACTTCTCTAAAAGAAGTGGTCAGGCACTGGAATGGGCTGCCCAGGGCTGTGGTGGAGTCACCGACCCTGGAGGCATCAAGGAACGTTCGGATTTTGTGTTGAGGGACATGGATTAGTGAGAACTATTGGTGTTGGTTGGACTGGATGATCTTGGAGGTCTTTTCCAAACTTGGTGTTCTGTGATTACTTCGTATTAGTTTTTGCACAAGAATGAAGGCACGAGCACCGATCCAGCTGTGCCCCAAAGCCGTGAGGGAAGCAGAAGCAGGACGGCTCTCACTGAAAGAGGCTTCCCTGCGTGCACAGTGATGCCGAGCCCCTTTTAGCCACGGGCTCCCGGCTCCCCCCGCTGCTCACCCCTCCAGCGGAGCCCCGCGTTCCTCCGAGTCGTCCTCTGAGTCGCTCTCGGAGGAATCCTCATCGTCGTCATCGTCGTCGTCATCATCGTCGTCCTCGCTGGCGGCGGAGGGTCCCGGCCGGGCCGCCGTTTCCTTCATGACCGGAGGGACGCGGTCTCACCGTGCCGCCCCGCCCCGCCCGCCCCTCGCGGCCCGGTTCCCCCTCACCTGGCTGCCGCCGCCCTCCCCGCCGTTGCTCCGCTCTCCCGCGCCGCTGGGCCGCGCTCCCGGCCCGCCGCCTCCCGACCAGGGCGGCCCCGGCCGGCGGGAGCCCCGCGGGCGGTTCGCGCTCCCCGCCGCCTCCTCGGTCTCCGGCAGCTCCAGGCTCTCGTCGTACGGCTGGTTCTCCACCGGGCGAGGCTGGGCGGAGGGACGCGGGGAGGCGACGGCGCGGCCCGGCCCGTCTCCGCTCCCCTCGGATGGCCGCCGCTCCGCCATGACGCCGCCCTCCGTCGCCATGGCGACCCCGTCTCGCTCGCCCCTGCCCGGCGAGAGCGGCGCCCGCGGCCCGGCCTGGCGGACGCGTGGCGGTATCGCCCCCTGCTGGCCGGGGCGGGTACTGCCGGGAGCCGCCCGCAGGGCCGCGCTCCGGGTCCTCCCGCCCCGCCCCGCCCCGCGCGCCGTGCGCGGCGCCGCTTCCGGCTGGGGACGTGGCTCGGCGCCGCCATCTTGTGGGGCTGCCCGAGGGGACGCGGAGCGCCGAGGGAGCGAGCGCCGAGCCGAGCGCCGCCGCCATGGTAAGGGCGGGCCCGCCGCCGACCGTTCGCTCGCGAGGCCGCTGCCCGCGGTGCTCGGGGCCCGCTGCCGGCCGGCCCGGGACCCCGGGGGCGCGCGGGGCCTGGCCGGGTCTCGCATCGCTCGGCGGCTCTGCTGCGGTTCCCCGGCCTCGTCCCGGCGGCCGCCCGCCCCGCAGAGCCGCATCTCCGGGCCGCGGCTGCACGGCGGAGCCGCGGGGCTCTCAGACCTCGCTGCGGCTCTGCGAAGGGCTCGGCCGCCCCCCGAGCCGTGCGGCCACCGGGGCAGGGCTGTGCTCCGGCCTCACGCGGCGGGCAGCGCCGCTTACAGCCGTGGGGGGTTGGTGGGCACGGCCTGCGGTGCGCTGTGCGATGGGTGCTGTGAAGGCTGTCACATTTAGCCGGGCCTCGTCCCTTGCCCCGGAGCTGGCAGCTCGGGTGGAGGTCATTTGCGTCCCGTTGTCTCTGGGTGACGTGGAGTTGTGAGCTTTCCCTCCCGGAACACGACCTGCTGCTCGGTGAGACAGCAGAGGCCGACGTGCTCTGGGATCAGCGGTGCCGTCCCGGACTGAGCGGTTTGGGGATGGAGGCTCGTGCCTGACCCGCTCTCTTCAGGATGTCCCTGACTGCAGGGTCCCCGCGGCCACTCATTGTACAGCAGTTGTGCCAGGTGCTGGCTGCTCAGCCGGCCGTGCTGTTGGCTGGGGTTCGTGTTTGAAATCTCCATGTACTGAAAGCTTCTGGTGCTGTTCTTGTTGTTAAAATGCTGTGAATAAAACTGGCTGGGGAGCTAGAGGATCTTAGCTTTAGAAACTGCCTTATCTTGACTGTGTTAATTAAGAAACTAATCTGTGAGTGAAGTATTTCAGGAAGAAGTTGAGGTGGAGAGAATGAGAAAATGTAAATGGGCAGTTGCCTTACTGCCTTTTTATTGTTGGTGTGATAACATCTGTGAAATGCCCAGGAGAGCCATCCACGTGCTGTAATTAATATAATGCTCAATATTTTATTAACCTGGCTCAGGGTAAGCGTGGCACTGGGAAGAAATGTCCCATTTCAAAACATTCCAGTATTTATTGTGACTTTTCTGCTGGGGCTGAACTAACAGACAATTCAATAACGCAGACCTTTGCCTAAAGCATTGTTGGGGTTTTGTCAAACCCCTGCGTATGGAGGAAGAGGTGGATTTACTGCATTTGCCTGAATGTAGGACTGAGAGCTTTAAATGCTGCTAGCACAGAAGGTGGGCTGGAGCATGTCTGCAGAGAGTAACAGAGGTGGATGTGCTTGTGGAATAGTTAAATTCTTGATGCTGGTTGCAGAAAGATGCTTCAAGTTGTGTTTTAAGGAAACGAGCTCACTGGGAAGGTAAAGTGTGACTGGCAGTGATCCTTTCTTTGCACACAACGCTGCGTCAGCTTTGTGGAGTGTCCGAGATGGGCACAGCTGAGCTGTGTTGTCCCCATAGGTGCTGTTGGCGGCAGCTGTCTGCACAAAGGCAGGGAAGGCCATCGTCTCCCGGCAGTTCGTGGAGATGACCCGAACCCGCATCGAGGGGCTGCTGGCAGCGTTCCCCAAACTCATGAACACTGGGAAGCAGCACACTTTTGTGGAAACGGAGAGTGTGCGCTACGTGTATCAGCCGATGGAGAAGCTCTACATGGTGCTGATCACCACGAAAAACAGCAACATCCTGGAAGACCTGGAAACACTCCGACTCTTCTCTAGAGTGGTAAGGATCTACACATCAGGGTCACTTACTGCAAAGTTCACATGTGTAGCCTGAAACAATGCCATGACAAGGGAAGCTGGTGGTGAGCTGTTGCTGAAGCACTCTGTCTTCACCTAACAACTTGATTTTCTACAGCCTGTTCCTGGCCTGGAAGTAACCTTTGATGTTTTTGTGGTAATTTTGAACTATATCTGAGAAATCCGTGGTTGCCATTTAACTGGTGAGGCCAAAGGGGTGATGCTGTAAATGTAGTGTCAAATATTCTCTATTTTCTTTAGGTAGCAACTGCATTCCTTCTGTGGCTTCACAGTATGTGATTGAGAAGTGTAGCAGTCCTCTAAATGGATTTCTAATGAGTTTTTGCAGGTTTTTTTTTTTTTTTTTACTAACTATAAACTATTAACTATAAAACAACTATCTGTGTGCAGCTGAAGGATGTTCAGGAAACTAACTAGCATCACAGGGTGTGTTTGTTTTGGTTCCTGTGAATTACAAAGTTAAAACTGTGCTAAAAGATTCCATAAGTGTTTTAGTTGAGGAAAATCAAACAGTCACAAAACTCCATTTTGTTTATCAACAATATAAAGGAATGAAAAGCAGCTTAATGGGTGCTGATGTCACACCTGCATCTGTTTTCAATGTTTTTCCCTACCTAGATCCCTGAGTACTGTCGAGCTTTAGAGGAGAATGAGATCTCTGAGCACTGCTTTGACCTGATTTTTGCCTTTGATGAAATTGTTGCCCTGGGCTACCGTGAGAATGTAAACTTGGCACAAATTCGGACCTTCACAGAGATGGACTCGCATGAAGAAAAGGTGTTCCGAGCTGTCCGAGAGGTGAGTGGGAGTAATTGTGGTGCTCTGGGTAGCACTACTTCATGCAAAGGTGCTACTCCACTTTGGTAAGAGTTTTAAAGATATGTAGCTTTTCTGTGCACTAAATGCCCATCCTTGGCTCTCTCAAGAAGTGTTTGTAAGATGACGGTGTTAGCTGCTGTACGGACTGAGATTGCGAAGCTTTAGCAAGTTTCATCTTTTCTTTCAGACTCAGGAACGTGAAGCAAAAGCTGAGATGCGTCGTAAAGCGAAGGAGTTGCAGCAGGCCAGGAGGGATGCAGAGAGGCTGGGCAAGAAAGCACCTGGCTTTGGTGGCTTCGGCAGCTCGGCTGTGTCTGGGGGCACAACAGCAGCAATGATCACAGAGACCATCATTGAAACAGAGAAGCCCAAAGTGGCACCAGCGCCGTCCAGGTAGGTGTGCAGTTGGCAGTAGTTAGTGTTGTCTGAAGGGTTTCAGTTGGCTTCTTCCTGAGTCTTCATGGATGAACAGGTGCTGAAATAACTGGTGTGTTTGTGTGAGTACATAAGGGAGTGGTCACATATGGCTGGCACTGCTGTTGTTGGTTAGTGCTTGTCAGGCTGGTGCTACGTTTTGGGAATCAAGAGCTTTCTCTCTCCTGGCCATGCAAGGAGCGTTTTGTGCTGTAATTATGGGTTATATGTATGCCTCCATCTCTAGAAGAAGATAGGGAAGGTCAGACCTCCCCTGTGTGTACTCTCACTGAAGTGAGCTCAATATTGTTGAGATAGTCAAGTTACAAAACTTGAAGGATCAGACTGAGGAAGGATAAAACTGCTGTGCTGAACTGACTTGGAGATGTTTGCGCATTTTATTTAGACCATCAGGTCCCAGTAAAGCTCTGAAACTTGGTGCCAAAGGGAAGGAGGTGGACAACTTTGTGGACAAGCTGAAATCAGAGGGAGAAAACATCATGACTTCTGTAGGCAAACGCTCTACAGAAGCAGCCAAAGTTCTTGCACCACCTATTAATATGGAGAGGTAGGTATTATGCTCCTTCTGAAAGCAGTCTTCTCACTGCTTTGTGATCTGTGCTGCTTTATTTTAAAAGATGATGGGTAAAATCTGGGAAAGCACAGCAACAAAAGAGTAGATAGCTTATTTGATTTGAAAGTGCCCTAGTTAAAATGAGATGCACATCCTCTGTTTTGCTCAGATTGGGAATTTTCCTATGCCTTCTGGAATGTCTCTCTTTTTTTTTTTTTTTCCCCAACAGATGAGTTAAAGTAGCTGTCACTTTTTTGGTTACCCAGATACGAATAGCTTCTGTCCTACTGCATCTTAGAATACAAGTATTCAGAGTTTCTTTGAGCAAATCAGAAGCTCTTTTCTGCTGTGAGCCATTCTGCTGTGTGGTAAAAGGATTCTGAGTGAACAGCACATCAAGATGCTGTATTGCTGATATGGGTTTCCATTCATTCCAGACTTGTATTCATAGATCCACGTTCCCCTCAGTTGACATGTGCATCTGTTGAGCTGTCAGTGTCATTCTGTTAGGGGCCATCATGCTCTTTGGAGCATGTGTTCGCTGCACATGGACTGTCCTTGCTGAACATTAATTTCTTGTCTTGCTTATCCAGTGTGCATATGAAAATAGAGGAGAAAATTTCCTTGACTTGTGGCCGTGATGGGGGCTTACAGAATATGGAGCTGCATGGCATGATCATGCTGCACATCTCTGATGAAAAATTTGCACGAATTCGCCTGCATGTAGAAAATGAAGACAAGAGGGGAGTGCAATTACAGGTAAAGTGATTGGTGTGCCATTCTAATACTGCTCTCTGGGGCAAAATATCAGAAATACTTGAGTGTGTTAGTGTGCTATGATCTGATCCCAGCCTTTTCAGCTAATAAATTGAAAATGGGAGTAGTCACCACAGACTGCAGTGTAAATACTGGGCTAGATCCTGTGAAAAGGTTGAAGGTCACTTGAGAAATCTGGACAGAATTTCAGGCTGATAAGTGCATGTGCTATAGTAGGGCTTCTGAGCCAGATAGAGAAACAGGGTGTGTTTTTCAGAGGAAGGTACTCAGGGATGTATAGGGCTGTCTTTCTGGAATATGGGTTTTCTGAAATACTGCTCTGCCTTAGGCTTGAAGTCACTGCATAGCTGATGCAGCCTCGGCTTTTGTTCTCATTTCAGACTCATCCAAATGTGGACAAGAAGCTGTTTACTGCAGAATCACAGATTGGTTTGAAGAACCCAGAGAAATCATTCCCTATTAACAGTGATGTGGGTGTGCTGAAGTGGAGGTTGCAGACGACGGAAGAGTCCTTCATTCCATTGACAAGTGAGTGCAAGTGTGTGCAGGGCAGGCAGGAGCTCAGTTGGGAGAGCTTGGTGTCCATCTGTGAGCTGCCTGCTTGCACCTTGCCTTTCAGCAGCTGGGTTGGCTCCGCAGTTAGCTACGTTGTGAGATTGAAGGGGTGAAGACTTCTCTGTGCCTTCCATTGGATAAAACCTGTTGTTATTACTAATGTCTGTTTTCCATTCTTGAAGAAAACAAAGATTTTATTTGACAGAATTTCTTGGTTAGAGTTTTACTTTGCTTTTCAAAGTAGGTAACCTTTTGAAAGTTGTTCTTCCTACAAAGATCGTATATTTCAGCACACTTTTTCTACTCTCAGTTAACTGCTGGCCGTCAGAAAGTGGGAACAGTTGTGATGTAAACATTGAATACGAGTTGCAGGAGGAGAGCCTAGAACTGAATGATGTGGTCATCATGATCCCTTTACCGTAAGTAATGTTCTGTACCTGACCCTTCATATATCCTGTCAGCTCCTGAGCCTCTTGGGTTTGTAGATCAGGCCAAGCTCATGTGCTTGACAAGTGTTTCCTGAGCTCTGTGCAGACGTGGTGTTGTAACTCCTCTTTGCATACTCTAGGTCTGGTGTTGGTGCCCCGGTGATTGGGGAGATCGATGGTGAATATCGCCATGACAGCCGGAGAAATCTCCTTGAGTGGTGCCTGCCAGTGATAGATGCCAAAAACAAGAGTGGCAGCCTGGAGTTCAGCATAGCAGGGCAGCCAAATGACTTCTTTCCAGTACAGGTCTCCTTCATCTCCAAAAAGAACTATTGCAACATACAGGTATAGTCACCTGAGACCTGTGCTCACTGGGAGTGCTTGCAGACTGTGCTGTAGCTGCAATTAGACTGTCTGCTTGTGCCACATGTTTGCCTCTGTCCTTGATGTTCTTTAGCTGTGCTGTTTCTTCAGAAGAGCATGTCCACCATGGACAGTTTTTTCTTTAACAGTGCTGTGATCTCTTGCTTTGCTTATGCTCAGTGTGTGTTTAAGACTGCCCCTTCCTCTGCCTTTCAGAGTGAGAGCAGACGACACCAGTATCTGGTTCCTGCAGGGGCTTAGTACTTTGCAGTGTGGTTTTTACTTCTGTCAAGCTGCCTCAGCATCCTCTGGCCAGAGACTTTCATAAACACTGACTTGTGGTTCAGAAGTTCTGGTTTGGTTCTGTCCTTCTTGACCGTGTCAGAGTTGGGAAGTTGTGCTTCTTGTGTTGGGAAGCGATGTTAAATGCTGACCTTGCTGTATGTGTTATTTCCACAGGTTACCAAAGTGACCCAGGTGGATGGAAACAGCCCTGTAAGGTTTTCTACTGAAACCACCTTCTTGGTGGACAAGTACGAAATCCTGTAATGCCAGCTGTGGGAAATTGCAAAGGAAATTTTTAAATTAAAAAAAAAAAAGAGGCCGAAGTTTATTCTGAATGTTTGGAACGCCACAGCCCTCTCTGCTGAGACACATGGCTCTGTGTGCCATCTGCAGTGTCCTGGGTCACAGACATTTTTGGCAGAGAATTGACATGTTCATGGGGGGGAAAGGCTACGAATTTCTTTGGCAGATTTTTACTGGCTAGCAGGAGAACAAGATCTCTGCAGAGAACCTGGCTTTGATACTTCCCCATCTCCCATGAAGATGACTGGAGCTCAGTCCCAGAGCCTACTTAGACATCGCACTCACCCGTTTTTAATTATCACTGTTCCATTGCTGGTGCTGCCATTTTAATTTCTCCTCAGCCTTCAACTCTTGCTTCTGGTGATGAAAACAGGCATAAAGATAATACACTCGGTGATGCAGTGCTTCTCTGGATCCTTCCATCTGGAAGAAGTGGACTCGCTGCTCAGATCCGATTGCAGTGCTCCTTGCTGTCCCTCCAGCCCTGCTGTACAGCAGTGGACTTCAGCCCCAAATCTGTAGGAGTCCTTTGGGCCTCTCCTGGTGTTGGCTGGGTCACCGTGGGCTTGTAGGTGGCACAGGCTGCGGCTCTGAGTGCTCCAGTCTGCCTTGCAGGGAGAACAACACCCAGAGGTGTCTGTCTGAAGGTTTGCTGTGTTGCAGTAACTCCCTGGCCAAGGTTCATGTCCTGGCTCAGGCTATGGCAGTGTCTTGGTAGGCTGAACTGCTTTACCTGGCAGGGTGCAGGCGTGCATGGAGCCTGCTTTGCTTCACCTGCACACAGTAGGAGTGGGGTTAGGACCTGTCACAAACTAGCGTTCTTTCTTGGTGCTTAGGAGCGGAGGAGAGGGAAGTGGTAGTTTCCTGAAAGTCTGCTGGGTTGGTCTGAGCGTGAGCAGCACCCAGAGCTGTTCCTCTGCCTGCATAGCATCCCTTTGTCCCCCCAGAGCTGTGCTTCCCCCAGATCCATCCCACCCACTTGCTTTGGGGCAGTCACCAACACAGCATGCGGTCTGCTAGCTGCTGTATGGGAAGGGCTGCTGGGCTGAGCGTGCAGGTGAAATCCAAGTGGTGTCCTGTCCTCAGGAGTCCTAAAACCATGCACTGTGCAGCAGAGAGCACAGTGAAAGTGTGTTGGTTCCCATCGGGTCCTCTGCCAAAGAAGTTAGCGGTCTCTCCTCTGTTAACAGCGCCAGCAAGGAAATAAACTGATTCTTTCCCTGGGAGGGTGATGTGTTCTGGGGGAGGGAAAGCAAACCCTGTTCTGTAGTGAAGTAGACAATGAATCTTATTAATTCAGTTGTGTTCAGGAGTTGCTTGTCTGTATGATTTTAAAATGGAGTCGAGTTTAGTTCAAACATCAAAGGAGCATTTTTATTAAATTTGTTGGAGGGTAATATTTAAAAACCAGAACCCCAGTTTTTGTAACCCTGTACAATAATGGCCTAGGGAATAGAGCACATTCCAGTGTATACAAAGAATACAAATTCTTTAATCAAATAAAAAGAGTATTATAAAAGGAATCTGGCTGAGGTTCTTCTGCCTGGCTTAAGTGGAGTTGTGGGGGGTGACCTGCAGAAGACGTGGGGGACAATAAATGCTGTGGCACTGTGTCCCTGCAGATAAAAGGTTCCAGGCAGAGCCAACTGCAGCATCCAGGCCCCAGGCTGGGATTTATGGCAGGATGTATGAGAATAACCGAGGAGAAGATGTCATTGAGTCTCCTGAATGTGTCTTCCTCTCCTGGAGTTGAGGAGCTTCCCAGCAGTACAAGCAGAGGCAGATGGCAAAGGGATAAGATGAAGTGTTTGGAATTGGCTCTGCTGGGTCCCCTGCCAAGCCTGAACCTGCAGGATGGAGCTGTGAAGTATTCATGGGGCTTTCCTCGAGTAAACAGCATTAAAAATGCAATGATCGTTTGAGTAACAGCCATCAGCTGTGCCTCCTGGGCTGGAGGAGTGTGTAAAGAAGAGAAGTTTCCTTTCAAGCTGCAGGGCTGGGAAGTCTCCCCCTCCTGTAGGGCAGCAGCCAGCTGTCATTCAGCAGCAAGAAATTAGATGGGAAACCAGCCGCTGCTGTTTGACCTTTACTCCTCCGGGTGTGCTGCAGCCTAAAGACCAAAGGAGCCTAAAGACCAAAGGGGCAGCCTGGCAGGAGCTTTGGGGCTGTTCCCCTGCAGCACCTGGGCCTTCTGCACCTGGCTGCAGATGGGCTGATGATAAGCAGCAGCTGTGGGCTGGCTGTTCTGGTCTGCCCAGCTCAACACAGCTTGGCTGCTCGTGCCCACAGCCGTGGGGCTGCTCTGGGTGCTTCTCACTGAGGGGGGGGAGGGGGATGGCAGCTGGGAGATGGGTTGGGAGCTGAAACAAGGAGCCCCTTCAGCACGCCCTGAGCTCTGCGGTGCGCATGGCACGGGGAGGGAAACCCAAGCTGCTGGGGGAAGCAGTGGCTGTGTGCACAGTGCAGGCATGGTGAGCAGTGCTGCTGAGCAGAACTGTCCTCTTCTGTGGCACCTGGGCTGTCGCTGATCTGCTTCCTGCTCCTTTTCCCAGGGCCCGGATGCAGCTGAGCACCGTCCCCACCACCTGCCTGGCACTGGGGATGCTGCAGAGCTGAGGATGGAGCACGGTGAGTTGTGTGTGGGCAGGGGGAGCGAGGGGCCTTGCCTGGGTCTCAGCCTCCTCCAGGACCCATGGCTTCAGTGCATCACCTCGGGGCAAAAGGTTGGAGTGTCCTAGGCATAGGGGCACAGGGACCTGGGGATGTATCCAGGGGATGAAGGGGTGAGGGATGGATGAGGCTGTGTTCATCTCTCTCTGTTTCCTAAAGATTCTGCCAATGCATCAACCAAAACTCTCTGTACCACCTGGAGGCTGCTGCTGCTGCTGCTTGGGATCATGGGGCTGCTGGCAGCAGCAGTGGCCGGGGCCTGGCTGCTGGGTCAGTACCTGCAGAACAGCCCCAGCTCCATGCCCAGCACCCTGCCCAGCCGCATGCCTCACCTGCTGCTCTCCTCTCCCAAAGGGTGGCACCTGGGGGGTCCACAGCCACACCAGGGCTTGGCCAAGCCACAGACATCAGATACTGTGACAGCATGCAGTGAGGGCGAGGAGGAGGAGCCTGTGGTCCGCGGGGCACCTGGAGGAGGTTTCCCCCTTCCCACTGCCCCTGCTAAACCTGAGATACTCCTGGATAGTGAATCTCTGCTGAACCTCTCTCCTACCTCAGCTGCATGCCGCAATGGTTTCACTTTGCTTTTGCATCCCCCTGCATTCCCCAGCTGCAGTGCACGGCGTGGTCCCACCTTTGCATGCGCCCTCTCAGCAGAGCTGGGCTAAGAACGCTTCAAAAGTTTCATGCGTGGTTTAGCATTCACTACAAACAGATTGCTGTGCAGTTTGTTTCGCTGTAAGCCCCTCGTGAAGCGCTGCAGGGAGGTGAGGTCAGTGCTGTCAGTGTCTTTCAGGATCCAGGCAGGTGCCTCCCTGCTGGCTGTGCGGCCACACGACCGGTCCGGATGGCTGCTGGCCTGCCATGAGCACTGGCAGCCCACGCTGGGCACACGGCTGTGCCGGCACCTCGGGGCGCTCAGGTGGGTGCCGGTAGGGGTGGGGGCAGGGCAGCAGCCCACTCCTCCCCGGGCTGCTGCTGTTCCTTCTGCAGAGCGATACATCAGAAGGGGGTGAACCTGACGGACGTGAGAATGGAGGATGGGCAGGAGTTTGCCCAGGTGGGGTCCAGCCTGGATGATGCGTGGCAGATCAGGTGAGGGCAGGCCTGGGCCGTGCTGGTGGAAGAGGCAGGCGCTGCCTTCACCCAGCGGGCAGCTCCCTGAGCGCGGTCTCCATGCGCAGGAGCAGCTGCGAGTCGGGCCGCGTTGTGGCACTGCAGTGCTCAGGTGGGTCCCCCCCTCTTTGCATACCTGCGACCTGCAGCCCCTCGTGCCCACTGAACCCCGGCCCTCCTGCAGCCTGCGGGCAGCGCCCGGCACCCGGGGGCCGCGTGGTGGGGGGCATGGATGCTGCCCCCGGGCGCTGGCCCTGGCAGGTGAGCATCCGCCACGGCTCCCGGCACCGCTGCGGTGGCTCCGTGCTGGCGCCGCGTTGGATCGTCACCGCCGCCCATTGCGTGCGCAGGTACAGGGCTGCCCTCAGCACGGGACCTGCAGCGGGGGCTCAGGGGCTGTGCTGGGGGCTCTGCGGGATCTTCTGTCCCCTCAGCTACCGGCGGCGGAGCGCATCGGGCTGGACGGTTCATGCTGGTGTCACTCATGGCTCGGCCAAACAGGAGGCCGGGGTGCCAGTGGAGAGGGTTATTTCTCACCCGCTGTACAACGATAACAGCATGGACTACGACATCGCTCTGATGAAGCTGCGAGTTCCCTTGAATTTCTCAGGTGAAGTGCTGCTGTGAGGCACCCTCAGCCTCTCCTGGCATGTGGGGAGCAGTGTGCACAGCCCGGCTGTGCTTTGGCTGATGCCAGAGCTGCTCGTTGCTGGGAAGGCACCTGGGGCTGTGCTACCAGCAGTCCTGGGCCCAACCCATCCCTTCACCACCAGACACCATTGGAGCTCTGTGCCTGCTGCCCTCCCACCAGGACCTGCTCCCAGGCACGCCGTGCTGGGTGTCGGGCTGGGGCTACACCAGGCCTGACCAAGGTAAGCCTTGTCCATGCTCCCTGCCGGCCCTTCCTGTGCTGCATGCGCAGTTCTGCCACTGCTTCTCCTCATCTTCAAGCCCCACGAGTCCCCCAGTGTGACCCCATGTTCATAGAATCACAACATAGCCTGGATTGAAAAGGTCTACCATGCTCATCCACTTCCAACCCCCTGCTATGTGCAGGTCGCCAACCAGCAGCCCAGGCTGCCCAGAGCCACATCCAGCCTGGCCTTGAATGCCTGCAGGGATGGGGCATCCACAGCCTCCTTGGGCAACCTGTTCCAGTGCCTCACCACCCTCTGGCTGAAAAACTTCCTCCTAATATCCAGCCTAAACCTCCCCTGTCTCAGTGTAAAACCATTCCCCCTTGTCCTATCACCCTGGTAAACAGCCGTTCCCCTCCTGTTTATCCGCTCCCTTAAGTACTGGAAGGCCACAATGAGGCCTCCCCGGAGCCTTCTCTTCTCCAAGCTAAATAATCCCAGTTCCCTCAGCCTTTCCTCACAGGAGAGGTGCTCCAGTCCTCTGACCATCTTAGTGGCCCTCTTCTGGACCCGCTCCAAGAGCTCCACATCCTTCCTGTACTGGGGGCCCCTTCTGACCCCTCCTGCTCCCTAAGATCACGTTCCCCTCTTTCTTTGTCCCTCCCTCCCCAGCCCAACTCACTGAGACGCTGAAGGAAGCCCTGGTGCCGTTGATCAGCACCCAGAGGTGCAACAGCTCGTGCATGTATGCAGGAGAGCTCACGGCCAGGATGCTGTGCGCCGGGTACCAGCAGGGGAAGATCGATGCCTGCCAGGTGATGGGCGGCCAGGGGCAGGAGCACAGCAGAGGGGCTTTGGGGCTGAGTGCTGCTGTGCTCCCATCCCTGCTCTGCTGCAGGGCGACAGCGGGGGCCCCCTGGTCTGCCAGGATGAGCTGGCGTGGCGCCTGGTGGGCATCGTCAGCTGGGGCCAGGGCTGTGCTGAACCAAACCGCCCGGGGGTTTACACCAACGTGGCTCAGCTTCTGCCCTGGATTTATCACATCACTGAGGTACGGCTGCAGCAAACAGCAGCACGCCTTCAGCCTCAGTTCCAGCTGTGCGCATTGCATAGAGAAACCCCACTGCCAGCACTGCTGTTAGCACCCCGCCCTCACCCCAATGCTTTCCTTTCCTTTATCCAGATCTACTAGAAGCAAGGAGAAACCTCCTGCATCAACGCACGGCCCATTGCACATCTATGTGAAGAAAAGCCTAGCACTAATTCCCACTGTTCCTATAACCCCTAAAGGAACGGCACCAGACACCACCAGAACACGTGGCCAGTATAAATAGTTTATTAAAGAAAATAGCAAATTGCATTTCTGTGAATGATGCCCATGGGAGAAGTGGCGTTTGGTTTTTTATTGACTGCTATGTGGAAAAGGACAAGGACTCCCCAGGAGATGCAAGTGGTGTGGGAACATTCTGAGCCCTTGGCTGAATTGTGTGGAGGGGAAGGGGGGAAATTATACACAAGAAAAAAGGAAAAGCTGGAGGTCCAAGTGATGCCTGCCATCCCTGCTGCCTTCTTGCAGGCTGGATGTGGTGTGAGCTGCTGAGTTCTGCAGCTGGAAGCCGAGAACTGCACCCATGGTCAGGAATGCAAAGAGAATTCAGATCAAAGTCCAAATGAAAAGGATACAACAGTATTAAAATATTTAGCTCTCAAGGATTGAAACTTTTGTCTGCAAGCATTACATGGTAGGAAATAGTTTTTGTGCATCATGTGGCCTCGGGGCTATGGTTCAACAACAGCTATTGATGAGTTTTCCAATTAAAATAAACATACATTTCTCGAAGTCTTAAGCGTGGCCTTCCCTAAAGTAAAAGACAATGCTGTGAGTGCACATTTAATTCCCTTCTCAGATTATCTACGTTTATCTCATCCTTAAAGGACAGAAAAGTTACCACTGCAAAGACAACAGACGCCAGACCTACTGCTTCATTAACAGAAGGGGAAAGGAAGGAGCAGAATGGCTTTCATAGCTGGCAGTGAGACTGTAGACAGAAAGTCAGGTTTAAGATATTTGCTATGAGAAATAAAGCCATGAGGAATTCTGCCACTTGTGCAAAACACTCTGACCCGGTAAACAGCTGACGTGGAATGAGGTCTCCTCTTCCCCACCTCCAGTTTCACTCTTTCAAGGTCTGCTCTGCAGGGAAACCTGAGCAGAACAGGTGGGGAAGAGCAAAATTTGGCACCTGAGCATTCTTAGGAGACCAAATGCTATCACCAATGGTGGTTTCATCTGTATTTCGCAGGGACAGACGAGGTAAGAGACAAAGGGGCTACATGGCCCCTGATGTAAAACTGTGTAGGTAAAAAAGATTGATGAGTGAGAAATAGAAATCCCTCTGTAAGTCCCTTAGGCAAACAAGCTTGAGATGACGTACAGCATGCTGCACTGACAGCCCCATCTGCCAGCACTGCTCATTCTCACAAAGAGAAGCTGGAGAGAAGACTTGATTTATTTGCCTATGCTGGGCTTACAGAAAGATGAAATCCAAGAGGATTTAGCAGACACCACAGAAAGCATCTCTTCTTTACCAGGACTGTACACCCACCAGCTCAAAGCAAAACCTAGGATCTGTGCATAATACCTCCAGGGAGGAAATGGCATTTTCAAGCCCAAATTCCACCTGCCTGGCAGATGGAGCAGAAGCAGTTAGTGTTCATGTGCTACTCACTTTGATTTCCTGGTCTGAGACTCACAGAGCCAAACCATTTGCCCTACATACAGGGAGCTAGGAAACCTCTCCCCCAGTCAAGCCCCCAGGAAGCACATACCCAAAGCTATGCTTTTTATAGTCCAGTACAAGAAAGGTCAAATCTAAAAGAAATAGTTAAAAGATTCAGTTCACTGTCGCTTTATCAGAAGATGCAACGTGTAGGAGATAACAGAGCTATTTGATCTTGGCCAGTGCTGCTGCTCTCCTTTCTGTGTTCTGGAACAAGGCTCGGATCAGACTCTTCACTTCTGCTGGGGAGAACTCAGCTGCAAGAGGTCCCTTCCCATCTGCCCACCTACAAGGGAGAAAGAGCTTTGGTTAACAAAACTGCATGGCAACTTCACATTAGAACAAACCTTTGGGGCATTCACATCAAGCCACAGCAGTTCTCCAACTCCTGTAACGAATGGTTAAAGTAGAGTGAAACGCATCAAGCATTTACAAGCATGGAACAGTACTAAGTCTGGAAGCAAAACAAGTTAGTTGCCTATTAGCTGCATGCAATCTGAGTCCAGAATTACTTCATTAGGTATTTAAAGTAGACTTTTCAGTTTAGCCTGCAGATACCTACTGATCTACTATTTCTTGGAGGTTGGCCTGCAGGATGATCATCAGCTCTTTGAATGTCATCCACTTCTGCACATAGACTGGAACCTCCTCTTGGTATTTCTTGTTTTTGTCCTCTTCAGGCAGTGGAGTGAAAACTTGAGGTCCCTCCTCCACCATGATCTTACAGAGTGAGTACAGCCTATCTGCATCTTCTGCAGAGATATCCTAGAATTGAACAAAGAATATACATGAATTGAACAAAGAATATCCAAGAATTGAACAAATTGTTAACAAAAGAGCTGTTAGATATGATTTTGGATCACTAAACAGTAAGTGAAATGAAGGCAAAAGCCAACTCAAACCCCAAAATGGGGCTGTGTGCATGAAGACAAAAAGCCATGGTTTGGATTGCATTTAATATTCTCAAACAAACATATTTCACAAATAGCTATTTAATCAAGTTCTCTGCAGTCACCTCAGAACAAGGACTGTGCTTCTCAAGAGCAGATTCACTGCGAGGCAGAGTGGTTATTAAGAAGGTCTGATTGGTTTACAAGGAAACTGGCAGGTAATGCCAGCACGACAAAGAAAGCAAAGCTTTTTGGCAGGCACTGCATAAGAAAGCATCACAGCTGCTACAGGAAAAGCAGCCCTTTCACTTAACTGACAGTGCAAGGGCCCTTCAAGATATAGACTAAAATTGGCTCCCCTGAAACCTCAGCTTGTAAAGAGCTTCTGGAGGTCATAAATGCTAGCTGTTTAGACCATGCTTATGCTTGGCATGTCCACATCATGCAGTTACCTCCAGGGCAGCAATCCTAGTGACAATTTCAGAGAGTGCTGTGTTCAGTAAGGTGCCCATAGCCTTGCAGTACACATTCACTGGAAGGACATCTTGCCAGACTTTCCCCAATCTTTTCAACTGATGCAATACCTGGAATGTAACAGCTACATATTATCAACATGTTATCAAGAAGAATGTTAAGAGAAGCACAAAATGATAAGGATACTGCACACAGACCAAAACAAGTTTTAAAGAAGCACAAGGCAATGAAGTATCACATACAGCAGATGTTCCTTAAAAGAAATCAATATCTTCAGTTTGCACTGCAGCTTATCAGAAACGTGACACCTTTTCCTTGAGCAATAAAACACCCTAGATATGTACTACAGAAAAACTTCACGATTAAGAAACTGCTGTCTTGGTGCAAGCAGACATGAACTCAGCATCCCATAAAATAAGGCACAGCCCAAGGACAGCATCTACAGACAACAGCACATCCAACTTCAGCTTTGCCTTGCCTACCTGCCTTATGGCTTTGTTTGCTGCAGAGTAATTTTCCTCATCATCCATATTAGAAAAATTCCTGGCACTTGACAGCCTCTCTAGAATTTCTCCTTTCTGTACTCTCATCTGGGCCAGAAAACACTCCATCCCTTTAAGAGAAAAAACAAACAGAGAGAAGCAATTATTTGTTTGCTCAGCTGATGCTGATTTAGAGACTGTAAGTGCTGAATAATAAACCTGCCATAGTGTTATATTTTTAATAGAAATTTCCAGTCTCCAATCATTCTCGCAGAGCCAATTCAATCAGGCCCAGCCACTGCATTCAATAAGCTCTTGCACAGCTTGGATTACTACAGCACTCTGAGAAAGCTGAGTAGCAGGGCTCACTGTGGATGACAGGTTCCTGTTAAACTAATAGAAGCTTATTTCAGAACTTGTTTCCAAAGAATAACCGAAAGAAAGTGTCAGAGGAGTCAGCAGCAGATCCCCAAATATCTGAGTGCCACAACACCTCACTGGATAACAGTCTGCTCTTTGAGCTATGCACCAAACAAGGTGAGCCCTGCTTAAATAGCCCAGTCCTATACAGCTGTATTGCTTAGAGCCAGGAGCTCCACCAGACCTCCCTATCAAGATTTCCTTGCCCCAAACTCAATAAATAACAGATGTCTACTTGAGTCAGTAGATACATTCTGAATCATTCAGCAACAAAACTCAGGATTAACTACCACATCATCTATCAAGGTACTTCAACACTGAAAAGCAAAATTACCAAGTCTCCTAAAGCCAGGTACCAGGTCTACAAAAGTAGCTGCTCCATCACACAGGATGCTGGTCAGGCGGTACCGGAACTGATGTCCCATGGTGAGCAGGTGGTGAGCAATGTACATGCAGTTGTTGTGGTGAATAGCTGCGAGCTGGGGTAGTTTCTGGAGGTTCTCTCTGTCTCGGGAAGAAGAGGAAAGGAAGAAATGTATGTATTTAGGCCTGGCTCTGTTCAACTGACATATGGACAGTCTGACTTAAAGAGATGTTGCAAATAACTCACTGCAAGCAATGCTCGATAAAGCCACCAGCTGGAAGTATACTTGCAATCCTCATTGCTGCTCTTTCTTACAGGGAAAGCAACATGAAAAATCTTAAAAGCCACCCCTTGTCAAAGCCCAGGGTGAGGGCTCTATTCTAGTTACCCAATAGCTGGATATGGCAGAGGTTTGTAAGACCCAGTTTACAAGACTCAGCTATATACTGAAGATGCAACTTCAGCTCACGCTGCCTGTGCTCCCACCCATGCAAGGGCCAGCAGGCACAGAACCCATCTCATTCATGCCAAAAGAAATATTAAAAACCATCTCCTTGATCATAAGACCGCCAGCTAAGAAACTCTCAAGCAAATAATTTGCAACAAGTATGATTTATTAACGGGTTAAAAGCATCAGCTTTTTCCCACTGGAGGAAGTCCTCAGTAACTTTTGGATGTGGTGGACAAAAGAGAGATCAAGTGGGATGGTTCCAGCAGCACTGTTCTGACTGCAAAGTAGGCCTTAAGTAATACACATCACACACTTACTTGTGGTATGTTGGTACTACATCATAAAACAGCTGGAATATGTTCCGCACGGAGTAGAAGAGCTGTATGCAGCTACAAAGAAAATAAGGTTCATGTCAGTGTGTCTGGAATTAACATCTTGTGTGCCAAGTGACTCTCACCCCTCTCTTAAAAAATAAGTTTTATTAGTGGTAAAGCATATTCTCCTTAATGAACAAATTGTCAAGGATCTTGTCTTTATTGCCATTCCCTGGTTGATTTTGACAATTCACAAAGGCTTCTCACAAGAGCTGTGATGACCTTGTAAGTTCAGCGTGGAAGAGATGAGCTTCAGACCACATGTCAGAACAGAGATATGTGAAACCCCACAAACAAAGGGAGCAGTGTCCTTTCTCCCAGTAGGTATGCATACGTACTCAGCCCTCTCTGCCACAGTACAGTGCAGGGCATTCAGTACCTGGGAAACTCTCCCTTTTCAGGGTTATGGGCTCCAGTTTTTAAAACTGGTTGTATGCAGCTTCTCAGAACATTCCACTGTTTTCTTTCAAGAGCCCTGACAGATGCAGAGCTGGAGTTTTTTGCTTGCACTCAGCACACATGCAAAAAGAAAGCAAGAACTCACCTCAGAACCTTAGGGTGCCATCCCTTATTGGGTTGGAACAAAAGAAATGGCTTTTATCTTTTTAAACAACATAAACAGAACACACAATAAAGTATTGCAGTGAACACAGCAGTAGCATTTCTCCCAGAAGACTGAGGCTGTGAGCTGCCCTGTGCACACTATGGAGTCACTGTGCTGTCAGTGCTGCAATAGCTCAAATACAGCAAAACCCACCTGAATGCTCCCTGAAACACAGAGCCTGAAAGGCTGCTCTGGTTAACCAGTGCTCCTGCTGCATCAACCTCCTGCACAAACCCAGGCATGCAGCCTTTAGCCAAAACACAGCATAACTTTAATGATTAATTCTAATTTTTAAGTACCCTCTGCTCTTATGAATTTCTTCTAATCTATTAGCAGATGCTTAGTGTTGCCAAAGGCGATATATATCTGAGAAGTTACAGGCTGAGATGTAATTCTTACCATTGATCTGTGCTGGCTGTAGTCTCCAACAGTGTCTGATAAGCCAGCTCCATCAGCTTCTCCACTGATGCACTGATGCGGCACGTGGGCAAAGAAAACGTGTACTGGCTCAGTTTAGAGTCATTCTCCAAATTGACCATCTCGTTAGGAAGGAGTTTAGAAGTCTTTTGCATTTTAACATGATCTCCAGACCCAGGATCAGGAAGTTTTGGTAGGGTTACACAGGAATCAGGTGTGATCTAAGGGAAAACAAAAGAAAAGCATAACTATAATTAGAGCTCAGAGAAAGGAGACTGTGTGAGGTCAGAAATACTGATTTGAGCCTCAAGGTAAGCATTAAGCTGCAGAAATCCCCTGAGACTGCTGGAGGTCTCATGACTCATGAATGACACAGGTCATGAAAACCTACAGTTTCATGCCTAGAAGCAAGCCCTGCAAGTGAACCTCTACATTTTCTTTTCTTTTTCTAACCCTAGCCAGAAAAAAATACAAAAGTAAGCTTTGGGTACTTTAAGAAATACCCAGCTGGTGAGATAACCTACTTGAGTAACTTCCAAAAAGACTTTGAAACTCTGGTTTGCCAGGATCACTAGATAGTAGTCCTCTATAAAAGGACTCAGCTGTCCTAGAAAAGCCTTCTTTAACAGCAACGTTATTTTCCCACAGAGAAAAACAGGATGTTTCAACAGCAGTACCTTTACAGTATTGTGTATTTCTGAGGTCATCAGGTTTCTGGCTGCCACAATCACATCCTGGCATTTCTTGTTAGCAAAGTGGGAATTGACATTACGGGCGTATTTCAGTAAATCTGTTGTGTCTCCATTCAAAAACTGCATTTTCTTCAAGGCTTTTTCAAATTCCTCTGTGGATTTAATCACCTGAAAAGAGCAGACACATTCTCCATCGATACCTGTGGACTGCAAGTTTCTTAAAATCAAACAGCACAATTAAAGCTGGACAGAAATTCTTCCACTCAGATGGAAGTAAAGAATAAAACCTGGCTGTAAAGATCACTGCCTAACAGCTCTCAGCAATCCTTTGGAAAAAGCTGGCTCAGTTGGAGGCCACGATCACACAGTAATAGTCTTTTAGCTGCAGCTTTCTGTTGAAGATGGTCACGTAGTATTTCCACTAAATAAACCTGAAAGATTTTGAGACCTACCTCTATATACTGCTCCAATTTGCTGCTGTTGGTTGGGATTGAATTCACCAGACAGTTCTGAATGAGGCAGTCTGACAGCTCTTCCCATATCATATCACCCAGCAGTTCTGCCAGCGTAACTCTGCACTCCTTTTTATCTTCCACACACTGCTCAACGGGCACATCTGAATTGAAGAGAACAGAAGTGGGTTTTAATATACGTGGACCAGACCCTTCACCAGTTCATTCAAATCTTCCTGTCTTTTAAAAGAGTGTACTTCAACTGTTCCACAATTTCATAATGAAGATATTCTTCATATCCAAACCACGTGCAGTTCTGATCAATATCTGAATTTACATTACTTTTTAGTATTAAAAGCTACTTAGATCTTACAGACAACTGCTTAACAACCAGCTATTCAAGACAGCTTCCACTCCAGCTACAAGAACAAGGTGTTGATATGCAACTCAGACTAAGGCCAAAAGGGAGACAACTTACTCAGCAGGTATTTGTGAAGAACTTCAAGAACAAACTTTATCTTGTCAAAAACCTCCACAGGAGAAGAATGATCCAAGTCAGGCTTCTCTGACTTGAACTTTAGGATGACCACATCTGACTGTTCTTCTATGAATGGCTGAAGAAACGGGTATGAAATCAGTGGCTTGAGGATGTATTTCAGCAACAGCTTGCCTGAGAAATGAAGCAAATAAATAAATGTATGGTTTCAAACAGCAGCAGGTAGGCAGGTTTATTTTCAGGGAAGCCCAACCTATTTTGGATTCAGAGATTCTCCACATGAAGTGGAAGAAACACCACCTGGACTAGCTGTACCAGAGAATATTCAAGAGGCAAAAAACACTGGGTCTGGTTTCACTAAAGACCATTTTAGCTACATAAAACACACAGAGGCTCAGCAAAGAGCAGCATCTTTAATGCAAAACAAAGAAAAACAGAAAAAGCCAGATCTGCCTTACCAAAAGTTTTCAGCTTGGTGCGCAGTTCTCCAAGGACAGCAAAAGCCTGCAGCACAGAAGCAACAGGTGGGCCTGCAATCTCTTCCTCTTTTGATGGCAGTGTGCATAAGTGCAATTCTGAATGCATCACTGACTCCGGGCCAATGGTTTCTAAAGAAAAGGAAGAAACAACTCTCTGATAAAGCATGTTCCGAGATGCAGCAGATCTGAGGAGCTACTGCATTTCTCAGCTGGTGGCTAAAGCAATATTCCACCTCTCTCCATTTCCACAAAACGTGGCTCCTGTAGAAGAGCATCGGAAGTGAGAACTGAGCATCTTGTGTCCCTTCTTAGAACTGAGTACCTTTAGAAGGAGGAAGCTTCCACACAGCCAATTTCTGCCATTCCTCTCCTAAATGATAGAGCATGTTCTGTGTCTGCACTGTGAGCTCTGTGCCCAGTGCTTTCAGGATCTTCAGCTCAAAGCCCTTGCGGGATTCCAGCATTTTCAGGCTGCTTCGTGCCTGGTGGGAAATGTCAAACACAAACCATGGGTAACTGCAGGCCTTGCGAAACCTACTGAAAGTATTTCTCCACAATTTTGCCATCCGTTTAAGAAATCATTATCACCTTTTCCAATTGTTGAGCTGCTTCAATGTACTTCTTTTCCAGCAGTGCAGTGTTGTACTCTTTCAGAGCTGTATCGAACTGCAAAAATCAAGGAGGATCATATATAACTGTGTACCTACTATCAGACTACAAGATTTTTAACAATGCAGGTAGAGACAGAGGAGCTGCAGTTAGCTGTTTGAAAGAGAAGCCCAGTATGGTGCCACAGGCAGCAGACTACTGCTCAATGACTTGAAGCTGCACTCCCACATTCCCTCCTCACCTCCTGCAGCTTCTTCAGGATGCTCAGAACCAGCGTGTCCTGCTCCAGCTGCTGCTTCAGTTCAGTGAATTCAGCCACAGCAACGTTTAGGTCCCGCTGAACCTAAAATAAAAAAACTTCAGTTACAGCAGCCAAATGTTAGCGGGCAGATTTCCTCCTGATGGTGACAAAAGCATGAGAAAGAAAATGTTTGTTACCAGGATCATGGTTTGGGTTGGAGGGGACCTTAAAGGCCATCTGGTTCCATTCCCTGCTGTGGGCTGGCTGCCACCCAGTGGCTTCACTGCCCGGGATGGTTCAGGGAGGAGGATGGCAGGTTGGTGTTACCAGCACACCTGCTGTGGCACGTGATAATGACCGTGTCTGTAATTTCTATGGCCGTCCATCACGCTCTCTGCCATAAGGATCCTTATAAGCACTAGAAACTCCATCAAACTGCTGCTTTTTGTGTACATCAGAGGTTTTTTTCAAGGCGTGGGAGGGAGACGCGGTAACCAAAGGCTGTCAGAAGGAGCTCAGTGCTCCCGTTGTGCTCAGCCACGGGCCCAGCACCACCGGGCTGCTCCTGCTCCGCACCGTGCGTCATCCAAACGAACCCCACGGGTGCCGCCGCCCCTCCGTGCCCTCCGCAAACACCTGGGGCTGGGGGGGGGAGGCACAGCTTGGGTTAAACCCGGAGAAAACGGACAAAAGCGGTGACCTCGTTCTCCACGCCGGCCCTCAGCAGGTCGATGCTGCGGGACAGCCCGTCCACCCTGACCACCAGCTCCTCGGCGCTCTGCATGCCGGGCAGGAACTCGCTGTACTTCTTGGTGATCATGGTGCACACCTCGCCCTGCGGAGAGACCGCCGTCACCGACACCGAAACCGGCACCGCCCCGCCGCCCGCCCCGCGGCCCTGCCTTCAGCTCCTCCACACGGCGGGACAGCCGCCCGATGCGGGTGCCCAAATCCTCCTTGTCCAGGCGGCCCGAATGGGCCAACACCGCCGCCACCAGCGAGCCCGCGCCCGCCGCCATCTTCCGCCCCGCGGCACCACGGGAACGGCGGAGCCACAGCGCCGTACGGCGGCCGGGAGGAGACACAGCAAGGCGGGAAGTGGCTCCGCGAGTGTGTGCAGCCTGGGGGATGGGAATGGTTTGAGCGGGAAGGGAGCTCGAAGGCCGCCTGGTGCCTCCCTGCAGTGCACAGGGACACCCACAGCTCCAGCAGTGCTC